TGGTGGAAGTTGATTTTCATAGGGATGGTGGAAGTTGATGTTTATAGGGATAGTGGAACTTAATGTTCATAGGGATAGTGGAACTTGATGTTCCTAGGGATAGTGGAACTTGATGTTCATAGGGATAGTGGAAGTTGATGTTCAAAGGAATAGTGGAACTTGATGTTCATAGGGATAGTGGAAGTTGATGTTCAAAGGAATAGTGGAACTTGATGTTTATAGGGATAGTGGAACTTGATGTTCATAGGGATAGTGGAAGTTGAGGTACATAGGGATATTGGAACTTGATGTTCATAGGGATAGTGGAATTTGATGTTCACATGGATAGTGGAACTTGATGTTCATAGGGATAGTGGAACTTGATGTTCATTGGGAGAGCGGGAACTTATTTTATAGGGAAATTTGCAATGTGGTTAATAGGGAGAGTGAGAATTTGTGTGTTCTTTTTTATATGTGAGTGGGATTTTGTATTCATACAGGGGATGAGCTTGTGTATATAGTAAGTTGGGGAACTTTTTTGATTCGGAGACCGGGAACCTATTTCATATAAATGGTGGGAAATTTCGGAGAATTTGGGAAATGGGAAATTTGTTATTTATTTTATAATACGCATGCATATTTTCTCTCCACTTTCTTCTCCTCTCCCAGGGATTGACGTAACACTGTTCATGCTTGGCAAAGTGACCACCCGGCTGCCCGAGTCCATCTCGTTTGGCTTCTCGCCTCTCTCTGAGAACCACGCGTGGACATTGAACAAGCTCTCTGTGAAAGTTGACCCCTGCGACGTGGTACTGAACGGCAGCCAGTACCTACACGGTGAGTGAAAATGGGGGTTTAGTTTTTAAGTTATTTGGCTGAATGACGCAAATAAATTTCACCCTAAAAGTTATTTTCAATATAATTAAATTCTTTAAAAAACTAAAAAAAAAAAAGAAAAAAAAAAAAAACTTCAATTGAAATTTTGAAGGAAAAAAAAAATTAAAATGGGGGTTTATTTTTTAAGTTATTTGGCTAAATAAAACAAATAAATTTCACCCAAAAAGTTATTTTAAAAAAAATTAAATTCTTTAAAAAAAAAAAAAAAAAAAAAAAAAAAAAAAAAAACTTCAATTGAAATTTTGAAGGAAAAAAAAAATTCATGCTTTATATTTTTATATTAAGGCATCAACACGGATGTCTTCCTACTGGACAGTGAGAGTACAGGGTTACAGCTGTGGACCCAGGACGTGCCCTTAGTTTTTATCGGCACCACAGATCACATAGATTCGCCGTTTCCGGTACCACTCCAGCCCTTCGAGTGTTCGAGCATACGGAACATCTCCTTCAATATCTACAACAACATCTGGAACACCAACTACCCCACGTGGTATCCGTTTAACCCGGAGGATGCCAATTTTAAAGCCAAATTTTCTATTAATTTCGTTACAAAATAATTATCATTTCCCTTCATAATTGAAACGTTATTAAGTAAATGGGAAAAAAAAATGTGAAAATGCTGAGTGGACGAAATTGTATAAAACCTATTATAGCTGGCTAAAAAGTTTGTAGGTTCTTATAAGCTATCCATACGCATGTAAGTTTAATGTTAATTTTTGTAGGTGCTTATAAGCTATGTAGACGTATGTAAGTTTATCTAAATGTTTGTACGTGCTTATAATCTATAAAGATGTATGTATGTTTATGTAAATGCTTGAAACGTATGTAGATTTTTGTTATTGTATGCAGGTAATCAAGAGCTATTAAAGTGTATGTACGTTTAAGTGAAAGTGCTTATAAGTCATTTAGGTGTAAGTAAGTGCATCAACTCGTTGGTGAGATTGTGGTAGGTCTACGCGACCTTTCAACTCCTTTGATTAAACCAAAATGATGATTGTTTTGGTTTGAAAGGTCATGAGAAGCAATCTTTCTCCCTCCCTTTAATAACATAAACAATCAATCATTTATCCCTACCGCCCCACCATAACCTCAAACCCGAACTTAAACCTTGATTAACCTTTTTCCTTCATTCAGGTCCCCCCCCCCCAAAAAAAAAAACAAAAAAAAAAACAACACACAAACTTCTTCCCTTCCAGCCTTCTTGCTCAACATAATTTAGGAAGTCACTTAATCGGGGCCATTTTGCTTGTTTTCTTTTAAATGTTCTCAAACCCGAACTTAAACCTTGATTAACCTTTTTCCTCCATTCAGGTCTCCCCCCCCCAAAAAAAAAAACAAAAAAAAAAACAACACACAAACTTCTTCCCTTCCAGCCTTCTTGCTCAACATAATTTAGGAAGTCACTTAATCGGGGCCATTTTGCTTGTTTTCTTTTAAATGTTTTTGCTTGCGTTAATGTGAAGCACGGCGAGCCCAGCCCTAGGCTGTGGTACCGCACTAGGAAGTTCACTGTTATAGTAGTAATAATAATAATAAACGGGCAATCTAGTGCAAAATGGTATGGGTCACGCAACAAAGCAAAATGGCTCGCATATATCAGTTGAAACGCGCAAAATTGTAATATAACTACGAATTAGCCAATCAGATATATTTTAAAGTAAATTGTTATTTTTGGATGAATTTCTCATCGAAATGGCATTCTTCCTTGACTGAATTAAATTAAACTTCCTTAATTAAAATATTAATTTAAAAAACGAACTAACGGTATCAATGATCAATAATTTTTATTTAAAACTAGTCACAATAATCACATATAACTTTCTTTTTTAGTAACTTGCAAGTATAACCATTTATACATAAACAGTTTACGATGACTTCAGAGTGTAGTAGTTTTGACTTCAGAGTGTAGTAGTTTTAACTTCAGAGTGCAGTAATATTGACTTCAGCGTGTAGTAGTTGTAGCCAGACAAATCATGACTCTAGGACTTGTGCTTTTCACGCATAGTTTATGAAGAACTGAGTAGTATGCCTATATCTAACGCAATGGCAGCTGTGTTGGGGCACAGACCTACATACAATAGCAAAAAAATATCAACATGAAAAATGCACACCGTCATGTTTCACACCACTGACTCCAAGCGGTTCAGCATTAAAATTAATATTAATCTACACTCTACATCAGTCTCTAACGTATTCGTCATCACCTCGCGTTCATCATGTCTGTGCAAACATTGACGTTTTCTAATTCAATCTGCTGCTGACGTTATCAGTTTTCATAGGCGGACCCGACTGGGCATGTGCCCTTCGGACATAGGCCATGGTAAAGAATAAGCACTCTCTTAGCAGGGGCATCTGTATTTTTATTAATAATACATCAGATAAGACAATATGATACACAGAGTGCATAAGTCAGATATATCAAAAACTCATCTCATATAAAAAACAAATAGAAAATTGTGCCAAAAGCACGTCGATGTAAATGGCGCACAATATTAAAGTGCGTAATTTTAATGTTAAAACTCACTCGTTATCCCCTACACTTTGGTCCCATTGCAGTACTTCCTAATGCACTACTGCCCCAATGAACTTGGATCCAAATGCATTACTGTCTTAATGCACTTCTGTCCCAATGCATTTCTGTCCAATGGACTACTGTCCTAATGCACTTCTGTCCCAATGCACTGCTGTCCCAATGCACTGCTGTTCCAATGCATTGCTGTCCAAATCTCATACTGTCCCTCTGCAGAAATTCCTAATGCAATACTGTTTCAATGCACTTCTGTCCAAATGCACTTCTGTTCCAATGCACTAATGTTCTAATGCACTTCTGTCCCAATGCACTTCTGTCAAAATGCACTGCTGTCCCAATGCACTTCTTTCCAAATACATTTCTGTCCCGATGCACTGCTGTCCCAATGCACTAATGTCCCAATATACTACTGCCACAATTCACTATTGTCCCAATGCACTGCTGACCCCAATATACTACTGTTCCGATGCTCTACTGTCCCAATGCACTATTGTCCCCATGCACTATTGTCCCATTGCACCACTTCCCCCACTGCACACTACTAGCGTCGAAAGAATACCCATTTGTTTATAGTATCCCTACGCTTATGGTCCGATCAGCATTCGAACATACTAACTCTCTTTTCTCTCTAACAAATGTAAATTTACCCTCAGAGACTGACAGGGATTCTTTTACCCAGTTGTCTTTTCTTTCAATATATTTTACTTTGATTCAGTCGCCTCTCATATTGAATATTGTAAAATTAGCTAGACTTGTATTTTACACTTAACTTAACATTTTTATCTTTGAAGAACGTTACAAAAGAGTTTTGACGTGTTTCATTTACGGTACATGAGCTTGTTTTGTTCATCTTTATTGTACTTTTAAAAATTGTCTTTTTTGTTGTGCTTTAAACAAATTTTATTCAATTAAATTGTAATAAATAATCTCGTTTTTGTGTCATACTCTCTAAAACCAATTGTAACTCTCAATACTTTTTGGCTTGACCACATGGTTTTTCATATTTGTATTTCAATTAGCACCCCTTAAATTTCCCTTACACCCACACCGGTTGAAGACACAAGACACATTGTGAAGGACAGTCTCCCTGAACCGCCTGTTAAAGCTGCAATATATAAATATTTTACAACTCACGTGACACGTCATGACGATGCTGGACAACGTCATGATGAACGCGTGCAAATAAGTGTACTACATGCCGGGGTAAAACTCGGGCTCGACGACTTCCGCCAAGGAACAGACCGAGGAGACCAGGAGGGAGAGCCCAAGACATAACGTTACAACCGTCACAGCTTTCATCACCAGCAGCTCTTTGTAGTTTGGATTTTTCACAGACAAATGTTCAACCGAAACATATGATGCAAAGTTATGATCAGAGAAATTGTTCCCAGGACTTGCAACCATGACGCACTTTTTCTCAGTGATTATTTTTCTTTGACCCGTCATCTCTCTTCTTTTCCGAGACGCTCTGAATAGAGAAATGGATAAAATGAAGGAACAGACGATCGCAATGATTAAGTATGTTGAAGGCAGAATCGTCCGCGCCAAAATCTTTTTCCAGATTCGCGAAGAACGAGTACAGCGGGCCGTTACTCGTAGAAAAACGTGACGAATTGGAAACCGGGTTCGTTTGGAAGTAAAGCCCGTGGGTGGACAGGGTCGGGATGTGGCGGGCGGCGTTGGCGACGAATGCGCATGCGCAAACCGCAACGGTTCGTTTGAAGGTGAAGACATTTTTAAACTTCAGCGGCATGGCGACGCAGCAGCACTTGGCCACGGCGATGTAAGTTTCGATACAGGTGGACGTGTCCAGGAAGATGTACTGGTACCAGCTGAGCCAACTGATTAGTGTGAACAAGTTAATCGAGCTTTGCAGTTGAAGGGGCGAGATGGCTAGGATGAAGCAGACTGTGTACACGACGCAGCAAAAGAGATACATAAAGTCCGATAGAGCCAGAATCCAGAAAGAAATATTCAAACTCTCTTTAAGGCCGATGGACTTGTAGGTGAAGAGGTTGATTACATTCACCGTCAGTCCGAATACTTGGAGCAGAGGATCGACCACTCGGACAAAGTATAAAGTAATCGGGTACAGGACATGTTCACTGATGTAATCTGGCGTCGAAGACATGATACTTAATTGGTAAAAGATGATCCCATTTCTTGACACTTAATTTAAACAAACAAATACAAAAGTGTTATAAAATTAATTAACCGGTGCATAGTATAGGCAGCAACCACCTTCTATAATTTATATTTGATATAATTTGGTCTCCTCGGTTAAAAAAAACGGTTCGCCGATTGCGAGACAATCATCATTCAAGGATCTTTCAATTCTTTTGTGAAAAAAAAAATGGTTTCCGAAACTTTCAATTTACTAAAAAAAAATTTAATTAAAAACATCAGCAGCTTATGTTGTTGTTGTTTTTTTTTTAAAAATAACCTTAGATACCGAAATAGGACAATATGTTACTTTCATTTCAATCCATGCTTACTTTATATACTTAATTTCAATGGCTTTAGGGTCATTTTTTGGTCTCATTGTCCTTGCCATTTCCACACAATAATCAACACAATGAAAACCCGCTTTTTTTTTTAAAATGTGTGTTCTCGGTCTGAAAACGTGTAATTACAAAGAAACACAAAGTAAAACCATGGTTTTAAACCATCTCTTCTCTAGCACATCTTCAAAAGTATCTACTTTAAAAAAAAAACAAAAAAAAAACAATTACAATATTGTATACATTCGTTGGTGATTTGTAATTTGATACACCACGGAACAAATAACTGAGTACCTTAAATAATAATCCGTTTCAACTGTTAACTTTTTCTCACAATAACATGTTCTGTTCTCCCAGTAAACACAATCATAAGTGGAGGAGACCGTGAACATATTGCCCAACAACAACAAAAAAAAAAAAAAGAAAAGAAAAGAATATAACTATTTGTTTTTCTGTTCTCCCAGTAAACAAAATCAAAAGGGGAGGAAACCGTGAACATATTGCCCAACAACAACAAAAAAAAAAAAAAAGAAAAGAAAAGAATATAACTATTTGTTTGGCTAGTACAAGTCTGTCAATAGTTCATTTCACTTAATCTTGAACTGAGCATCACAACGACAAATAATAATAATAATTATTGTTATCAATTTTTTTAAAAATTTGCATTATGTTGCAACCGGCATGTATTAAGTATAAAATCTCTTCTTGTATTGCGTCACTCCTAATTGATTTAACTCTATCAACAAATCAATAATCGTGCTTGATGAAAAATGTCGAAATATAGTAGCTGGATAATTTAGTCTTACTGCATCAACAGTTCTCAATTCAGAACGCCGAGACCAGTTTTAAACAAAATGTATTACACAGTGCCCAGGGCGCCAGCAACCGTTGTGCCCGCCCCGGTTTCCCAGGTTCAACGTCCATATTATTAATATTTTTTTTTAAAAATCAATACTTTTAAAGATGTAGAGAATTTTAAAATACTATTTATAAAACTAACATATGCATGGTGGCTGCTGCAAGAACACAATTTCAAACTCTCTTTATCATAAGAAAAGTTTCAAGAGAATTAAAATAAATTAAATATCATTATCATTACAAACCATACATTTTTTAAAGGGAGAACTTAAGGCCTATACTGGGTAACTTGAAAAGTGATGGGATATTTTCTATATTCTAAACATGGTTGAACTGATGTAGGCCTAAACCAGACGAGCTATGATACGCCAACTTCTTCTTATCTCGAAGTCACAAGAAACGATAAAGTTGTTAGTTGCAATTTCTAAAATGTCTAAGCTGTCTTTTTAATTTTATTATTGTTGGTTTTTTTTTTTTTTTTGTTGTTGTTTTTTTTTTAAAGGAAGTTGTACATTCAGACCAGTTAAAAAAATTTACGGGTCACAAGAAACGACACGTTGAAAAGAACCTAGAAAAATCCAAGGACTATCTTTTCCTTTATCTCGAAGTCACAAGAAACGATAAAGTTGTTAGTTGCAATTTCTAAAATGTCTAAGCTGTCTTTTTAATTTTATTATTGTTGGTTTTTTTTTTTTTTTTGTTGTTGTTTTTTTTGTAAAGGAAGTTGTACATTCAGACCAGTTAAAAAAATGTACGGGTCACAAGAAACGACACGTTGAAAAGAACCTAGAAAAATCCAAGGACTATCGTTTCCATGGTAACAGCCACAAGAAAGAGGAGCACTTATTTTGATATTAGTTTATCCTAGTAATCTCCCTCTCTCTGTGGGTGGTTTTTTTAATTTAAAAAAAATCTAATTGATTTATTTAACAATCAGGAATATTTTTGTTTGACATTTTTTAATTTGACCTTTGACATTCGTTTTTTTTTTTTTTTTTTCCTTTAAAAACATGATAGAGCCAACAAATTTTATCGCAATAAAAAAAATTATAGGCATTAAAAGCACAGCCTACTTTTTCATAACCCCAAATTTAAGAACATCGTGATATATGGAGCGAGGGGATTGTATGTTCAGTTGCTTTTGTCAGTGAGTTAGTCGGGCAGGAGATACCCAGCGTGTACGATACCCTTAGCTGACAAGCATAAAACTTAAAATGACAATTTTTTTAATTTTCTACCGACAGTGGATATGTTTTCAAGCACTAAGTTTAAATAGCGCTTGAAACGGCGACTGGACGATCGTCATTTTGGCGTTTTTTGTGGCACAGTGTAGGACAAAGCTGGGGTACAAAGTCGAATGTTCAGAAAGATAACTTCATGCTGCCGCCGATGCTCAATTATGTAAGCATACGGATGCTAAGAATGATTCGGCAAAGCTCGGGGAATTAACAAAGTGGGCCTTAGGTAATCTTTCGCCCTGTGCCAAGCACCCATTCGGTGCCCCCCCCCTTCCCTTCCTTGTCCCCGTATGGCGTTACTCTTTTTCCGATTACGACCGTAGGCTATGGAGCACGTGTTATGATGAGCTATACATGTAGCTAACCATACGCATTTTAACATTTTATGTACTTCAATAAAAGAAACTAGTGGAATTTTAATATTTACTGGGCGCCCTAGGTGACTATGTCGCCACGGTGCCCTGTGCGAGGGCCCAGGTCGCACACCCTAAAGGCCGGTTTCTGGAATTAACTATCAAATTTTACACCAAAACTTATAAAATCTGGAAAGAGAAATATGTTTAATCTCTGACGTGGAGAATATCATATATGTGATAAAAAGATATAAAAGCTTGTGCCGTGAAATATATCAAATTTGTGATAAAAATATATAGCAACTTGTGACGGGAAATATATCAAACTTGTGACGTGAAACATATCAAACTTGTGACGTGAAACATATCAAACTTTTGACGTGAAATATATCGAACTTGTCACGTGAAACATATCAAACTTGTCACGTGAAACATATCAAACTTGTCACGTGAAATATATCGAACTTGTCACGAGAAACATATCAATCTTGTGACGTGAAACATATCAAACTTGTGACGTGAAACATATCAAACTTGTCACGTGAAACATATCAAACTTGTGACGTGAAATATATCTAACTTGTGACGTGAAATATATCAAACTTGTGACGTGAAATATATCAAACTTGTGACGTGAAACATATCAAACTTGTCACGTGAAACATATCAAACTTGTGACGTGAAATATATCGAACTTGTGACGTGAAACATATCAAACTTGTGACGTGAAACATATCAAACTTGTCACGTGAAACATATCAAACTTGTGACGTGAAACATATCAAACTTGTCACGTGAAACATATCAAACTTGTGACGTGAAACATATCGAACTTGTGACGTGAAACATATCAAACTTTTGACGTGAAACATATCAAGCTTGTCACGTGAAACATATCAAACTTGTGACGTGAAACATATCAAACTTGTCACGTGAAACATATCAAACTTGTGACATGAAACATATCAAACTTGTGACGTGAACCATATCAAACTTGTGACGTGAAACATATCAAACTAGTGACGTGAAACATATCGAACTTGTCACCAAACTTGTGACGTGAAACATATCAAACTTGTGACGTGAAACATATCGAACTTGTGACGTGAAACATATCAAACTTGTGACGTGAAACATATCAAACTTGTCACGTGAAACATATCAAACTTGTGACATGAAATATATCAAACTTGTGACGTGAAATATATCAAACTTGTGACGTGAACCATATCAAACTTGTGACGTGAAACATATCAAACTTGTGACGTGAAATATATCAAACTTGTGACGTGAAATATATCAAACTTGTGACGTGAAACATATCAAACTTGTGACATGAAACATATCAAACTTGTCACGTGAAACATATCAAACTTGTGACGTGAAACATATCAAACTTGTGACGTAAAATATATCAAACTTGTGACATGAAACATATCAAACTTGTGACGTGAAATATATCAAACTTGTGACGTGAAACATATCAAACTTGTGACGTGAAACATATCAAACTTGTCACGTGAAACATATCAAACTTGTGACGTGAAATATATCAAATTTGTGACGTGAAACATATCAAACTTGTGACGTGAAACATATCAAACTTGTGACGTGAAACATATCAAACTTGTGACGTGAAATATATCAAACTTGTGACTTGAAACATATCAAACTTGTGACGTGAAATATATATCAAACTTGTGACGGCCTTGTTATGAACAAATTGTTTCAGTATGATGAATTCACCAGGGCATTGCGAGTCTGTGAACAAAAATGTAGTGAACAAATGTTACACTTGGCATGACGTCTACACAACTTGCTTCATGGTTAACTATAAGCTGCGGTGTAGCCCTGGTGAACTTAACTTGCTAATTACTTAGTTAATTGAAGAAAAATAAACAGCATTGATTGAGCTTTAATAAAAAAAAGTCCGATCTAATCTTATTTGTTTTAAATTTCACTGTGTCATCTTCCCTGAGAAATTACTGTTCTGATTTTCATTTTAATTTTTTTTTTAAATATTTTTTTTAACAGTGGTAGACAAGTAGACTTGTGGACAAGTGGACTATACAAATGAATTTAAATCAACAAGGTTCATTG